TTGCTAACAAAGTCTTCTCCCGAAACTGCATTATATCACAAAATAGAACTTGATTTTATAAACTAGTATTGAAAATTCAATGAAAAATTTATAGCTGTTATTTTGTAAATTTGGTCTTATTTAATCACTAATTAACTGTTTAATGTGAAATTATGATTGAATGAAATTTTAATTTCATGATATGAGTATTTCAAAAATACTTGAATATTTTGTTTCACAGAAAAATTATAAAAGCAGGAAAACAAAATATATAATTTCTCATTTGTTGAGTTTGGATTTGTACACACACATTTATGTTAATTCTTACTTGAAAAATGATGAAATTTCCATACAGTTCATCCCATTAAGAACATTCTTGCCAAATTTTATTTTTGTGTAGGAAGGTTATTGCATATTTATCTTTATTACTCAGACTAGTTCGCCCGTTTGTTTGTTGAATCATCAAATATTAAAAAATAATTATCTTTGGGTAATAGATATTTAATTATGTATACAATTTTTGCACAAAATTGTTTTCTCTTTCAGGCTTTTGTACTTACAAGCAGAAATGGATGAACAAAGAGTATATCATCAGCATCGGGAAATAAAATCAGATGCCACTATTCAGCAACAAATAAAATTAATTGATTTTTTACAGCGTAGTCTTTCTGAACATTCCAAGAAAAAGAAGGTAAAGGCTTGTTTTCTTCTAAAATATATTTATCTTGATTTACAAAATATAAAATTTAGTATTTTTTGTAAGAATATTGCTTGACCTTATTTATATTTCAAAAATTATAACTTGGTTGGACAGAATTTGTCCTGCAGTGATAATTTTTCATTGATGTCTAGCTAAAGATTCATTTATTTCTCTTCTAGACTCTCACAGATAAATTATTTGGTCGCCAAAAAGAGAATCTGGCTCCCAAATTGACAGCTAGTGTTACAAACAGGGATCTGCAGAGTCAGTTAGCACAGGAGCGAGGCAAGGTTAAATTATTATCAGAACAATTGGTGAATGCAAAAGCTCAATTACAGAAGAAGTCTTTTGCTTGTGGTATGTTTCCATGTTGCATAACATCAGCAGGGTCATGCTTAGAGTTAAGGTCTTGTCATTTTTGTTACATTTTAAGTATGTTGAAGACATGGAAGATTTTTCATTGGTGAAAGTAACACAACATTGTACCATTTACATGTCTGAAAGTTATGTTGTGTGTTATCTCAGTATGCAGTTTATTTATTAAAAATGTTTAAGGTTGACTTTTTTTATTTCAGAAAGCAGTACTGACAAGGTGTCTGTGCCCTCTTCACCAAACACACGAAGAGTGCTAAGTCAAATTGTTCAGTCTCCAGGTACCCAGCAGAGAAGAAATTTTGAGCGGCAGCCATCACTGCAACGAATGCATCATAACATTCCTCACAGGTAGTATAATCTGAAATGTCTTTAAGGTTGGTTCCTAAGGCAGGAGTGGGAGATCACTTGGAAAATCTTACTGTTATTGTTGCAACCGTACTATCTTCTTGCCGTATGTTAATACTGTTGTGTAGAGTAAAGAAGTAATTATTTAATGATGCGAATGTCACCTTGTTGGACCATTGTGTTCCACAACACACATTAACTTAAACCTTTTCCTTGCACAACATTCACAGATATGAGTTCATCAGGCTGTTTGTTGCTCAATGCAGGAGTGGTCACTTTTGAATGAGAACAATTGCATGATTTTTTTTGTTAAGCAAATATCTTGAAATTCATTTAAACTGTTAATATTACATACAAATTACACATCACTATAATGCGTTTTTCGCAACTCTGCCCCTCGCAGGTGTCAGCTATTGACAGTCTCGTCCAATCGGAAGCTTGAACATCACCATAGTGACATTTAAACTCCTGATTGGATGAAACCATCAACAGCTTGAAGAAATGGATAGGTGTTCATGTTATGCAAAAGTAGAATGAAAGGATAAGTTGCAAAGCAACTCTGCCTAAATGCAATTGTTAACATTAATTTTAAATTTGAATGGAAATTAAACTGTTTTGGAAAGTTGATAAATAACTTGAATTAGCCAATAGCTTAAATTGGACAATAGTAATAAAAAACACAGTGTAATTTAATATTTTGAAAGTAATATATTTCATGTATAGAAATATGAGAAATTTGTGTACAATAATTTACTAATTCAAGAGAAGAAAAATGGTGTGCTCCTGCACCATTGGCCACTAATGGGCTAATTGAACCTTTTATGCAAAAAATCACATTGCTATCATGACTTTACTATCTCCCTTAGGTTTGAACCTAAACTTTCCATGCGGGTGACAAAATGTGCTGTCTGCCTTGATAGCATTCACTTTGGCCGGCATGCTGCTGTGTGCCAGGAATGTCATGCAACTGCTCATCCGAAGGTGAGAATTTTGAATATGTTTATTTGTGTAAGAAAATTTACTTGCCTATGGTGAATTGAATTTTTTGTATGCATTTGAGGGATTATACCCTAGGTATGAATGCAAATATTTGAAAGAGATGCCTAATATCATTAGTTTTTTTTATTCTAGTGCTCTCTTGCTATGCCAACAACTTGTGGGCTTCCATCTGGATTCATGCGCCATTTTTCAAGAACTTGGAAGAGCAATGAAAATTCAAATGTTGAACAACTGTCTAACACTTCTACAGCAGAGGGTTATGTGAAGCTTCCAAAGTAAGATTTGGAGTTGTAACTATCTAATTGATACTATAGAAAATTAGACATTGCTAAGTCTAAACAGTGATACAATGCTATATATTATGTATATATGTGTTTGTGTGTGTATATTGTGTATATTTATTTATTTTCTGTCTCACTCTCTTGCTCGTTCTCTCTCTCTGACTCTGTCTGTATGTATGTGTTGTTTTAAATCTAAGCAAAATGTCGGCATTTGTAGTGTAGCCATTGTACAGCCTTCCAATTCAATGTATTTTCAATCAAATCTGGACTGGCTTTACTGCAACATGAACGACACTTTGTTCATCTGGGTTAATGGGGGAGAGAGGTCACACGGATAAATAAAAATCACAGTTAATTGAGTCATATCAGCTCTAATTTTTCTCAAATTCATGATTTCATGGAAGTCTAGTGTTCCCTTTTCACAGAAATTTAGGAGTATATCATCAACCCCTTCCATTGCTTGATTTACTTGAATATTTTCTTCTTTAGCACTTAAAAGCGGTTCTCACGGTTACTTATTGGTCCCTGAAATCATGCAAGGGTGATGGAGTACTACTTGTACAGCATTACAAGCTGCTCTGTCACTTAGATGTTGATTCCTTTTTATTACACCGTTTTGTTTGCCAATCAATAATATCATCTTTATTCAATGTTTAGTAGGATCTGTAATGATGTTGCCAGTTGAAGACAAGCTTCTGTATCCCCCTCCTTCTATATTCCTTCGTTCATCTTAGCTTTCTTTATTCATAGATTTTCGCCCAGGAATGCCCTAACATACTTCCATTTTCCAAAACATCACATATCGGAAATGTCGTGTTTATGGTCAACAATTTCAGATTTTCTTTAATTGAATCTTAACAATTGTTTTGTAAAAGAAAGAAAAAGTCTTTGATATCTTCATTTTAAACAAGAAATCATCCAGTTCTTTAAAAATTGTGGTTTCTTAGTTTTCCCAATTACAGTTAATTTATTTTTGTCTGCTCATTACATTTGAACAAGTTATAATGGACGGTCCTTTGCTGCCTCCTTGTGTCAAGCAGCTGATTTTTCAGATTGTTTAAAAAGGGAAGCATTTTCCAGAAAAGTCCTGACACCTCTACACTTTACACTTGAGTTCAATGATAAAAGCGATGAATTGAAAACCCAATGAATAATGTTGCAGCATTCAAATCCCCACTCAGAGATTTGCCTTGGATATCCAGCAGTCGTTTACCATTTCAGCTTTTGAATCTAAATAACCAGCCTTGTGAAGAATTAAATATTTTCTTAATTTTCAAATTTTCATGAAACCATTTTGCCTTTCACGAACTTGGCTTAGAAATCAAACTTCCTTCGGGCCACTTTTGTTGATACCTTTTTAAATTATCAGTTTTCAAATCAAATAATAATTACTTTCTTAAGTTTTTTTTACAGCTGATAATTTAGAAATGAATTTTCCAGAAGATGAGAATTTGAAAATGTAATTTTTTCTCTCCATTACATTACACAAGATTTCACCCACACAGAACTCATCTGCATGATTATTTTCCCTTTCACCTTGATCTACAGCATCGTTTATAATCAACTCTTCTTTCTCAAGAGAAAGGAAAGACATAAGTATACTAACTTTAAAGTTCTCCACTCAGGATAATTATTTAATTGTATCACCATTAAATGCAATGAAGGCAAGAATAAATCTTGTTATTGAAAATGAGAACAGGAGGATAATACTAGAACATTAGCAGGGCTGCTTAGTAGCCGAAGAGTAATTCCTATCAAGTTGTTCCTAGAACATTTTATTGAAGGAGCTGTTGCAGTCTTTAAAATTTGATGTACGAAAAAAGCTAATATTTAGTTAAAGGAATTCTTTACGGAAGAAATTAATTTCTTCTGCTTTTCTGTTTTTGTATTTTGTATGTTTTTCCTGTTTCTAATTTTTTTTAAATATTATATAATCAATAACCATTGATTATTCAAGAAACTGGTGGAGTATTTAAGGCTTTTTGCTTCTTTGGAATGTACTTTTTTCCTGTGTGTCCAAAATTTGTGATCAGTTTTTTTTATCTTCTGTCAATTCCAATTCTTAATGATATCCTTGTTGATGTAGTTTATATAGTTAGTTGGTGTAGTTGACTGTAGTTAATACGTGTTCCAATTGTTTGTGTTGCTGTATTTTTTCTCACGTATCAAAATTCACAAACAAATTAAAAATAAAATGGCCTGGAACCTAGCTCTTTATACTCGCAAGTAGATTTAACTTTTTTATGTACACCTATGACAAAATCTTATTCTTGCTGTTTTTGGATACAACCCCCTTTATGCAAAAAACAGATATTCCATCACTGTAGGTATTGTGCAGGAACACAAATTATTTACCAGGAAAGTACATGAAAAAGCTTATTTAATACATTCAATATTCCTTAAATGTTCCTCAAATGTGTACTGCATATTCAATTGTCTTACCACATCACTTAATCGAAGGTTTGTATATATGTAATATTAATTTCCGAACAAAATTACCAAGTAAAGAGTTTCATTTAACAGCAACACATTTTAGTCTCTGTCCCCACATACATACTTAAAAAGTTTAGTTCTAAAAGCTTCTGGTAAATTTATTGTTCAGAATTACACCTTTTTTTATTCTGTGTGAGGTAATTCAGTGAATGCATTTCAGTGAAGGTAATTCGGGATGGGAGCGCCATTACCTTCGGCTACGAGGTACGGTCCTTGAAGTATTTGCCAGTAAACCCATTGATGATGATGAAGGTCCTGATGCATACTTTGACTTGTGCCCTCCTGAAGGATGCCCTCGGGTACTTAGTGCTGTTCCATGTTCTGATGTTCAGGGAACAGCTTCATCTGACATGCCCTTCATTCTTAAAGTAAGAAGTTGTTGATGTTTATTTTCAGATTGATTAAAAATTCATATTGGCATTAGTGTCTGTTGAATATAAATAATGTTCTTTTAATCATTGAATAATAAAAGTAATTTGAACTAGTATATCTATATTTTATAAATGATCCTTTTCGCATCTCATTAATATTTTTTCCATTAGGTGGAAATTGTTCCTCGAACCACTTGCTGGCCTAAAAACAGATCTCTTCTTATTATGACACTGAGCTTCCTCGACAAGCAGAAATGGGTTCAAGCTCTAGAGGCTGTGGTTCAGCAGAGTTGTGGACAATTCTCAGGGAGTGAACGTTACAAAGGTCATTGTTTAATGACTTTAGAAAGTGGACAAAATTCCATTATGTTGGATATAAATTGCTGTGTTGAATTGTCAGATCAGGTGAGATTTATTATTGGATATTAATTCTTTGAAAATCATTATTTAAAAGATTGTCATTTTATTAGAAAAACATTCTACATGTTTCCCTTTTTTGTTAGTTTTTAATTTTAGGCATAATAATGAAAAGCAACCAAAATTAATTGATGTTTGTTTGAAAATATATTCTTCCATGGAATATGGCTAAAATGAAGAGACCTTCACAAAAGTTAAGAAATACCATTGGGTGCTCATATCTACATTCTGGTGGTTCGTGGAGTCACATGAAATAGGTTCCCCATGCGATAGTGTGAATAAATTCAATGAGTTTATTAAATGTGTGGAGTTATGTGCAGGTGAAAAATGCGAGAGCTAAAAGTCTTATAAATACACATTTTTTTAAAAAAACTTAAAATGGTGTAGTGATAGTTAATTCTAGCCTAATTGGGTATAGAATTATGGTGGGAATGAGACATTTGGGAATATCATTATGTGAAAAGGTGCAAACGAAGTTGTATATGATTGTGCAAACGAAGTTGTATATGGTTGTGCAAACAAAGTTGTATATGGATGTAAGCAACAAGATATAAATAATTGACCAGCGTGAAGAATAAAATGTGCAAGTTTTTAATGGGATACGCGAGTAATTTCTGTGCATAGAATTATACAATAATAAATACAAAAAGGCAGATTATTAAAGAAAACCAATATAATGAGTGGGGGAGGGACAGCCAGTGGGAAGAAGTGGTGTGCACGACAAATGAACATAGTGTGCAGAATATAGTAAAGAGAGACCAAATTGATTAATTTTCGGTTAGGAAGAGACAGTTAAATTGCAGATAATATGATTTGCAAAACGAGAACATGCTCAGCTATGGTGTGAGACGGTAGTGCAGTTTGTCATGAAAATAATTTCATCATAGAGTTGTTCAATTAATAAGAGCACCTGAAGGTCGATAGAAGCAAACGAACTATGAATTAATATAGGGAATCAATTTTTAAGGAATGTAACCTTGAAACATTAAACTTAAATTAAAACTTTGAGCTTGGATGAAGCAAAAAGATGGGGTGAATCTTATGAAATTAGTACGGAGTCTGACAGCTGTTTCACCAGTCAACCAAAGGAAAGTGCTTAGACATTAAATAGTTAATGTAGGAAGATGAAGTTGTGTCCAATTTAAATTTAAGAAGTATTAATATAAGAGAGAATCGGAGATAGCATGTAGATCAATAATATCAGACGAATGGTAAACATGTGTGAATGTGTTGTAAAAATGGAATGAAAATTATGTTTATATTGTGTTGTAATTATTTCTTGTGTTTTAATCATAGCGTTGACACTGCAATAATGGGTAGCATTTGTAATTGTAAAGGCAAATTATAATATTTCGGAATGATTGATGTGTTTTGTTCAAGTAGTTCACATTTGATAAAAAAAATTCTTCACAACTTGAAATTCCATGTGGCCAAGTCTGTCAACCTATGAGTTATAAATTTTCTTCGACCAGTGAGTGATTTTCATTCGAAACTTAAAGGGATCAATGGTAAATTGTTAAATAGTAATAAACTACTGAATTAGGTCAGGGTCAGCAAAAAGAAAAAGGAAATAAATACAATTAGGAGTATGAAAGGAATCGTGGGTCTCAGTATACATTATGTACATTTTTGTTTATTTTTAGATCCTACTGTTAGGTGCAGAGGAAGGGCTACATTCCCTGAGGATCAGTGAGAAGAATAAGTTTCCTCTCCCTGTTAGCATTTGTGGCCCTACACATGTCCATCAAATTGCCACTCTTCCTGTTTTGGGACTTGCAATTATGATTGCTGGTAAGTTTTAGGAGGAGAAGAATCACAAAATAATTGTAATCAAAAAAATTCAAAGGGTGGAGTTTTGTTTTGTGTTATTGGATCCTATTATGCAAAGTGCATCATGTGTATTTGAACTAATGTAGGGGATTTCATAAATTGTGCCCCACAGAGATTTATTCGGAACTATGCCATTATATATTGTTTCTATACAGTATTAACATTTTGATCTAATCCAAGCACAGTCAGTTGCAGAAGTAGCTGGACTGATGCTCAGTGATGGATGTTCAGTGATTTGTTATACAAAATTGTAATTATGAAGAAGGTGTTGAAAAGAGGACAATTATTTCCCAAGGAGTGCTATCATGGGGTAAATAAAGAAGTGTCTCATTTTCCTATGTGCAAAAATGTCATTTAATGACATTGTAGTAGGATTGTGTATAAGTGAATGGCTAAGGATGACACAGGTAATTAAATATCATTGCTTAATAAACAACACTGCCTTTATGACATTTTTTTGTGAAATCGAGTTATTATCATTGCAATGTCCATGGCATTTGCCATCCATTGAAGAAGGTAATGTGAAATCCCTCATTTGGTGATGGAATTACTTGAAATACCACCTTTGTGCAATAATATGATTGAACATTCTGTTCAATGGGTGTAAATTTGGTGGTTATGAAAGTGTCTTTCTTTCTGTTTCTGATCTGCACATGGTGTGTGCAATGATCTTCCTGACAGCATGTGCAGTTATTCTGATAGTGTGAATATGAGTGTGTCAAGGAGTAATAAAAAATATTTCATTATTACAATATATACAGGGATTGATCACTGTTTATGAAACCTGTTCATATTTATTTTGTATGAATTCTATTACCGGCAATTGTCTCAATGCAGAACTAATACAAAAACTTGTGTTCCCACTGGAAATCAAAACCTATACCATGTGCACGTGAGGGTGATGATACCTGACAAGGACACTGCTCATAAAATTATGAAAGTAATGTCTGAATATAGACTTTTAGTATTGATTTACTATATATTAGTGCTGTGACTTTTGGAAATTACATTTGTCATTTGATGGAGGTGCAACCCCCTGGTTGTTATGGTACCAGCCACCGCTGGTGTCACAAAACATGGATTCTGAGTACACATGTTAGAGTAGTTTACTACATATCAAAACAAGATTTATTCATTTTTTCAATATTAAGGCCCTAGTTTCTGCTATTGTTGAAAAATTAGAGACTTTTGTTACAGCAATACAATACTTTGTACAGTATGTAGTATGGCAAAAAAGTATTGATGTTGGCATGCCAGTGGTGCATCCACACCTTGCTAATGAAAATTATTTTTGAGATATGTTAGAAATTCTGTGTACACATTACACAAACTTTGTATATAAATTACATTAATTCAAAAGAACTTGTTTCTGTCACCTGTTCATAGGCACATTGCAAATCAGCCAGGAGGTAGACAAGTGAAAATAAAACGTTGTTTAAATAATTTCAATAAATTGTAGATCATGAAGTGAAGTTATTGGTATTTGATAAATACCAGATTCAAACTTAGCTCACATATTATATTGCTCTTCTTTTTTGTGTAATTAAATTTGTTAATAAATAGAGCTTCTTTTATTTGAGAATTGTATTAAGCTATTCAAGAATATTAATGTATAGTTTTTAGTCATAAAAGAAACAATGTTAACATTGCCCATACCCCATAACAATAAAGTTTCAATTAATAATTTTATGTTTGTAATGAAATTCAATTAAAGTAATATATTAATATAAAAATGTATGAGTAAAAGTTCAAGTTTTAACAGGTTTTACATGTTTTTTGTCTCTACTGAAAACTACGAAACGTGACATATGCGGTATCGTTTATTAAGCAACAAAATAATGTGAACAATATTAACTTGAGTATCAATTGAGAATGAAGTACTTGAAAGTATCTTCCTTTGTACTTTCAACAGCTAACAGAATAAACTTAAATAGCCAATTCTGGAAATGATTGGAAGCTGTTTGTTTCTCGTAGGCTACATTATTGCCTGACTCCATATTTTGCTTTTACAGAGGAGAGTCGCAATTTGGTGCAGTGTGACTTGCACCAGCTGAGAAGTGCAGCAGAAGCAGCAGAATGTTCTCGGCCTTCAATTAGCATGCAACCCGTGATTCCTGCCTCAATGGATCCAACTTGCTGCCATCTCTTTGCTGTATCACCACCAAGTAGCCATAATGCTGATGTGATTCTGTGTGTGGCTACATCTGATAAGTTAATGTATGTGTTCATGGTATTTGAAGATTTAATAGGTAGTGAATTTAAGTATTGAGTGAGAATAAGTACATTAAAACTTGGATTTCAGGCAAGAGTTGATGACCTTAATGTAGGTGTTTTAGCTTTGGTGCAGTGTTCCATATATTTCTCATAAAATCTTTCACATTATTTCTGCAAACTTTATTCCTCAACTCCACTGAATGATTTTAAAAGAAACTGGGAATTTTAGAGTGAGATAAAGATAGAAGAATCATAAGAATAGATTGGTGATCTTTACTTTAAGAGACAATTTTCCCATACTGTGTTATATTCCAAACTTGTGGTGATACAACAGCACATATTTTTTCACATTATTTATCATCATCATCATGTACTGCAGAATGAAAGGCTGGGGAGCGACTGTTCCTGGTTAATAATACTTTAGTCTTCCAGGTGTACCTGCATGATCCTCTTCTTTCTTGGTCTTCCTATATCTCTCTGTCCAAGTGGCTTATATTTTAGAATAGTCTTTGGGAATCTTCCTTCTTTCATTCTTTTAATATGTTCCAGCCATTTTTCTGGTCCTTTTTAACTTTGTCTATTCAGTCTAGTATAGCCAAGGAAGTGTCTTAGGAACCTCATTTTAGCTGCTTCCAGTCTTTGGTTGCCTTGGTTTTAGGATCCAAGTTTCTGATCCTTATAATGGTGTTGATACGGCTGTCATGTTGTGTATTCTTAATTTGGTTTCTTGTGTCATGTCCTTCTCAAAGTGTCTTTTAATTATTCCATTTATTATGTTACATTTCACAATTTTTTGTTGGAGGTCCTTGGAGTTTAATCCAATGCCATTGTTAAAATATTTGATTGTTGATACTTGCTCTATTATTTCCCCTTGCTGTCTTCATATTTTCATGTGCAGGTCATTGCTATTTTATTCAGTTTATGTGTTGCTATTTGGAGTGCATCTTCTGATTTAGCCAAAATTATTTGATCATCTGCAAATAGGACTGTTTGTATAGTTTGTTTTTTGTTAAGTTTTATACCTTAATTTACTGACTACTTCCACTGTTTGATGAGCCTGCTGGGATAAATATTGTAAAGGTTAGGTGATAAGCCACATCCCTGTCTCAGTCCTCTGTTTGTATGAACTGATTTTGTGACAGTCTCATTCATTTTTATGGCGACTTTTTGTGTCCATGTAGTGTGTCTTTATTCCATTGATTTTTTTTTTCCTAATATTTTCTTATGTTTAATCCTGTTCACCATATCATTAGCTTTTTCAGAGTCTATGAATATCATATATGTTGTTAATTTTCTTTCATTTCTTTTCTCTAATGTAGTTTGTACTATGAATATAGCATCCTTTGTGTTTCTGCCCTTTTTGAATCCACATTGTTCTTTGCCCATGAAGTTTTCGCTGTACTCATTCATTTTATTTCTTAATATGTTAGCAAATAATTTTGAAGTGGTTGGCAGTAGCATTATCCCTCTGTAGCTATTGCAGTCTATGTATATGTATATTTGTTACCAAACCTGTTCGCCATTCTTTTGGGGTAAGATTCTCTGTACATATTTTGTTAAATAGTTCGATCAAAATCACTTTTAGATCTTTACCTCCATATTCCATAAATTCTATGTTAATTTAATCTATTTCAGGGCTTTTTCCGTTTTTAGCTTTTTGAAGTACTTGTTCAAGTTCTTCTATTGTTATTTCTTCTACTGGTTGATTTTTCAAATCTGAGGTCATGTTTATGTCTTTGTTCCACAATTTTGTATAGTGTTTTATCTACTGTCTCTGGTATTAATTTTATATTCACTTTGTCCCTTGTTTCAGTCCCAAGTATTCGTGGTATTTTAAAACCAACTCTTTGTGGTCCAGTGATGTCTATCTCTATTGGTTTTACATATTTCTTCCAGTCTTCTTTTCATTCTTCTTGTTTCTTTCCTTGTTTTTGATTTTTATATGTTATGAAGTCCTCGTGTTTCTGTGTCTGTTGGAATGTTTTATAGGCTTTCTTCTTGTTGACAATGATTTCTTGTATTTCTTCATTCCAGGATCTTACACACTTCTCCTTTTTACTTCTTGTAACTCCTAATCTTTCCTTTGCTGCTTCCATTATTGCTTGTTTTAGAGTTGCCCAGAATACTTCTATGTTCGGTTGTTTAAGTTTTGCAGTTTATCCTCAAGTCTTTTTGCATACAAATATCTCACTCTTTCTTCTTCTAATAGACGTACCTTTAATTTGGGTCTCACTAAGGTTTTCTTCTGGCAGTGTTGGGGGTTGATTTAAATTTTGATTTTAAGGGGGGTTATGATCAATGTCTAATTCACTTCCTCTGTTTTACCACTTTTATTTTACAGAGTAAGTCTTCACTCACAATGACATAGTCAATAATTGATTTTGTTCCTCTGCCTTCCCATGTAAATTTGTGTTTATCTTTGTGTTGGAAAAAGGAGTTTGTAATTTTCAGATTATTAAATGTACAGAAATCGATTAGCATTTTCCCATTGTTATCGATGACTTCTCCTCCCTCTATGAATATCAGATCATCCTTTGATGCCAATTACTTCTTCTCAGCCAATTCATGCATTTAAGTCACCAGCATTTATGAAGTGTTTGTTTATAGAAGTGTTCTTCTCACATTGATGTATTACAGTTTGCAATGTATTTTAGTATTTTGTGATTTCATCATCACTTCCACTGTTGCAAACACTCCAATTAAGTTTTAATTTTCTTTTTATTATGTTGGTTTTTATTAATATTATTATTGGGAAAATTAATCTGTAATTTTCAATATTATGTTTCCATGAACTTTTCATGATTATTGCCACACCAGCAATTGCACTCTCTTCTCTTTTCACTCCTGAAAATATTAAGTGTTTCGTTAGTTCTTGAGTCCCATTTCCTTTTTAGTTTCTGACAGTACAGCTATGTCCACGTTTCTTTCTGTTAGTTCCATTTCTATGTTTTCTTTTTTCTTTGATTGTCTTCTTAAGTTCCATGTTCCAAGTTTTAGTATTTGATACTTTTCTTGAGTATTTTTCATTCTAGTGATTATGATTTCTGGGTGATCTCGCATTTTGGGTATTATGTTTTCTGTATTTTTGGAAACAAAATGGTCACATTATAACTCCTTGTTGCCAAAAGTCTGTTAGTTCAATCTAGTTCCTCAAATTTGATTCCTATTTTAAAAGCTTTATTAATATTAAATTTTGTGTCAATTTCTGTACAAAGTATTTATCCACTTATTCCATTGTTGGGTAGATGTTCTTTTACATCTTAGTCCCTAGTTTGTTGTGCTAATCTTCCCACAAACATCTGTACATTCTTTTGATCAGCTTGACTTTGGCATGACTTTGTATCTTTTGTGTCAATTATTCCTTTAATTCTTTGGGAGTTTGAATCTTTTTCCTTCTATGGTATTTATCTTCCCAGTTTATAATGCTTTTTTTGTACTTTCTTGGATGAATATTTGTGCGTTTCTGTATTCAACTTTAGTGTGTTGGAGACTGTAGTTAAAGGTTCATTTGCAGCCTTTCTCTTGTTCTGAATATGTTCTGTACCACTTTTTGATTCTAAGTTGCTTTTCTTTTCCTCCAGTTCTTTATTTCTATCTTCAGATGCAATTTTGTCTACTGCAGGTCATAGATTTGTTTTTGCATCGTCTAGAGCGTTTCTTTTAGCTTGATAATTTAATTTGCATTTCATACATAACCTTATTACGTTAAGAGATGTTTTATGGAGTACCTTGACTTGTCTATCACATTATTCTTAAATTTGCAATTTTCGAAAATTTAGAGAGTTTAATGAAAATGAGACCCACACTGTTGTTTTAACTGCCTCTTCTATCTCTGGGAAAAATTTGGAGTTATTTTTGAGAAAAGGGTGTTTTTTGTTTTAATATAAAAATGCATTCATTTCAAGGCCATATTAAGCGAATATTACTTGCCTTTTCAAAAAAATTTACATGACCTTTTTTTAAAGAACCTGTTCTTTCAAACAGACTTCAAAAACTGTTTCTTTCTTCAATTTTGAAGCTTCACTTTTGGTACATTAAATTTTTGCAATTTTTTAAAATTTCATTAAGGAAAATAATCTCTATATTCAGTATTAGTTGTAGGAAGATGACCAAAACAAATTGTACTTTTACAATCATTTTCAAAATCTGGAATTTCGACTAACATGAGACCCTGCACCATTCTTTAAAGCATCTTTTATGCTATCCAAGGGGAAAGTATAATTAAAATTTTTTTTTTTTTAAATTTTGAAAATGTTTTTGAAGCTTCATGTAAAGAACCTAGCCTTAAAAATCAAAATGGCCAGTTGAAACTCCAAAATCCATGAGTTCGTTCTGACTTGTCATACATGGCGTATGCTGTATTTGTGTCACAAATATATTATTATTATTATTATTATTATTATTATTATTATTATTATTATTATTATTATTCAGCTTGGTCGGGGAATATCAATTTTGGAGAATATCGGCTGAGTGGTTGAGGCTCAAGCGTTGACCACAGATAGACAGGCAGATACTCACTTGGTATTTTGGTATTACGGACCCACAAAATTCTTGCTTCACCTCAAATTAGAGGAACTAATTTACTACACATAGCAACAGAATTTGTCCACTTTTTCGTTACCTGGGCCTAGCAATAAGAGTTTTTCTTTGGATAATTCACCATTTTCGAGCACACTATTACTTAACTTTATATTCTTTCAAAGAAACTGTGAGAAAGTAAAAATTTTTCAATATTGAATCCTTGTATGCCCTTGTAGTTCTGTAACTGACGTACTAGTACTGTGCAATCTGACATAGTAATTAGATCCTTTTTCAATATGAATTCTGCATTTTCCCCAAGTTACTGAAATGTCCTTTCATTAATGTCCCTAACTTATTCATGTGATACTGTTAAGTTGTTTGTTAGATTTAACGGATTTATTGTTTTCAGCTTATTGAAGTGGAATCCAAAACAAGCTAGTTTCATTCCAGTGAAGTTGCTGGATACAGCAGATCCATGCAGTTGCATTCACTTTACTCCTCATTCCATCATTGTTGGGTGCAACAAATTTTTTGAATTGGATCTAAAGAATTTCTTTGTTGAAGGTATTTAAAGATTCCCAAATTATAATATTTTTCCACGTACCAAAGTTGATGTTTTGCATTGATTACTTATTCGATACTAAATAAAATAATATATATATATAATTATATATATATATAATATATATATATATATATAATATATATATATATATATATATATAATATATATATAATATATATATATATATATAATATCATATATAATATATATTTTGTTGTTTGTTTTCTTGAATTATTTATCATAAATAAGTTCACAAAGATTTTGTATTTAAGTGAAATTCAATCTTGGGACTTTAACTAAATACCCCTTTTAGTATTACATTCTATTATTGTGGAAACGTTTGTATGCTTCAGAGTTTTTGGACTCCAGTGACCCCACATTAACTCTTGCTGTTGTTGGCACTGAACAACTCAACAGCTTCCCTGTGTCTATTTTGGATGTTACACCCCCAAAGATGACTGGACATCCTTCAGAACCAGAGTTTTTGCTATGCTTCAACGAACTGGGTGTGTTTGTTGATCAGTTTGGCCGGAGGACTCGAGAAGATGACATTAAATGGAGTCATTTGCCGCTGGCTTTTGGTATGTGCAACTTCAACAGAGTATATCATCAGTATTGTTTTTTGTCAAAAGACATAAACATTTATGTCTTTTAAAATGAATGGCATTATAAAATTGCTTCTGAACAGTCCAAACAGGATCTGTAAGTAAACATGTAAGTAATTTTCAAAGTTCAGTTCTCTTTTCATGGAGTTATGTTTCCTTTCAGTATATCGTCGACCATACATATTTATTGTCCATTTCATGTCAGTTGAAGTAATGAAATTATCTCCATTATCGTTTACTCATGGAAAAGATGACACTACATCTACTGTTAATTACCCAGACCAAACTTTTATTGAAATGAATAATCCAAGGTTTCTAGGTAAGAAATTCTTATTTTATTTTCATCACATATTTATTTTCAAAAATTTATAAAAATTAAACTATGAATTTCAATTTGTAATTTAATAGGAATATCTGGCAAGTCTGGTACAATATATGTCAGTACTTCTTCAACTGGATGTTGTAATGTATTGCGCCTGGATGCTACTGCTGCCTGTAAAGATGACTTAACGCTTAGTTTAACTGAAAGGTAGGCTTCATTTCTATTAATAATTGCATTTTAAGGGATTTGTTGCTAGTTACAGTACAAAATCAAAATATTTTCAAATCACTAGACAAACTTAACCTCCCATAAAAAATGAAAGTCATTGTGAAAAAATTGTGCTCACGAGGACTTCAACATCTCCAACCCTCATTCATATTCATGTTTTGTTATCAGTTTGTAAAAATAATGATTATGTGAGTCCTAATTAATCAAGGTTCTGGGTTAACCAAAATAAAATAATTTAAGAAAATACAAAACACAAAAGTGTTTAAAATATTTGGAAAATACGAGTATGGGGTCATTCTATTTGATAATCAAGTTTTCTCATCAAACATTGTTTCTGCTATTGCCACTCTCGGTTAGACTGGTATACGTGTTCTTTCGTATATGTTAGGTTTTGCTATTTGTATTTTCATTTTTGAATTAGAAATCTGAACTTCCTGAGTTTCTCATGTTTGAGGTTGCCTCGGTCCCAATTACTCCAAATAATCGAGTGTTTTCTGTATTAGTATTTTCAGTGGAAAATATATTGTTATTAATAGTTAAAAATTGGACTGTAATCAATAAATTATTTCTTGTATTATAAATTCAGACTTCTACTAATTTTTTTTTCTTCTTTCTATATTTATTTTAGTCTGTCTCTCTTTTTGCAGTGATGGTGCAGATTTGAATACTTGTGGTTCAGTTGAATTCAGTTTCACTTCATCACTTGTCCAGTCTTTGGATGGACTTGACTCTGAGGCAAACCCCAGTACTGATGATAATGCGCCGTTTTCAAGTAGACAGCATGTTAGATTTGATGTTCCCCACACAGCTTTGTAAATACTTTCTCTTTTATACCAGATTATGTATTACTTTCAGTATGCAATTCTAACATTCTGGCTTGTGATTAAATATGTTTTTCATTATGTATTGCCATTATGTATATTCATGTAATTATTCAATTGCCCATATGAAAGAAGTGAAGTTTTATTGGCAATAGTTCATCTAATACTTGGTTTTTGACATTCTTTGTAGATTAAATTAATAGTTTAATAATAGCTAAACATGCAATTAGTAGTTAAGAGATTGGTGACATTCTAGACTTACATCAGATAAGCTTGTTTGTATGATGGATTATTTTAATACAGTTTCCTTCTTTTGGGTTTTTAATCACAAAGCTTTTAGAATTGTACTAAAACATGATATTCTGTATAAAGAAAGTTGATCAATTATATTGGTTTGTGTGAAGTATGTTTTTACTATAAATCTGTGTTACTTAATTCATTTGTAAATGTTTCATGGGATAAACATGTGTAAGGTGTAAATAAGTGATGAAAGTGAAGCTGGAATATCAGGATGATCAAGTGAATGTGAAATGCACTTCATGGAACTTCTCATTAGAAAGATGGTAATGCTATTTTATATAAAATGATGATGAAAGTCAAAATGACTGTTTCAAATAATTCTTCTTTTTATTTTTTTTATTTTAAGAAACCTTTTGTTCTAATTCAAGACTTATAATAAATTTTAAGGTTATGAAAAACATGTATTATTTTGGCTTACAAGTCAAACAGAACTATTTTTTTCATTTGCCACAAACTATTTTTCTGCACCCACTAGAAGTGTCATTGGATGTTTTGTTTTTACAGTATGGAATTTTGCTGTGTCAACACATATTCATTCCTTGAATATTTGTTTGTACTGAAGTACTTAGCATCACGTGATGCCCTCTTAAAATGTTTTGAGACTATAGCAGTTGTGCAAAGTTCTTTAGCCAGGTTCAGTAAATACCATTGCTGGGGTGGATTGTTTCTTGGGACCTCTTCATTCAGCCTCCAGGAATTGATTTTGGATAAATGATGATATAAAATTCAGTCAGAGCAGTCATTGAAGAAAGACCATGAAGAATTAGCTATTATCTCAAAAACTAAGATGTCTAAAACAGTTATGTTTTGGCATTTTATAGAACATCCTCAAATATTGTGTCACAACATATAAAAGTAAATCAATAAATATAGGCACTAGAAGCAAACTAAAACGTCAGAACAGTCAAAATGAGTGCTCCCATCGTTCTAGTATTAATATCTACTTGGTAACCAAATAGCTTAAAGAAATGAAGAAAAACTACTTGATTTGGATGAATTCATTAATGTATTTTTCTTCCATTCACTCAAAGAACTTTTCTTTATGTCAGAAGTTTACAATCATCTTATATATAATCTCCATAGAGAGTATATAGAAGAGAAATTAACAGATGTAACTGGAATCACCCAGGTCCCCTTATCTCAAATTCTAAATGTTTACCATTTGCTCAGCTTTGACGTACTTCTTACTTAACAAGGGAGCAATATTAATCACGTGAAAGAATGTTATACTTTCTTTCATGTTCTGTTTTTACTGCTTGACTAATTATATTTGAATGGGTTCAAATGTGACCTTCATGTGATTTGAAGCTTATTTTTGAATTTGTATTATTTGTTTGTGTCATTTTAAATAACACCCGTGATTCTAATACTTTTTATTGTTCAAAAGTGAATGTTATATATTTATATACAATTTTGTAAGAAAAACATGCCAGTATTTTTAAAATTGTTACCTTAAGTAGATTATAATATTGGCTCAATAAAGGATTCCATGTCATATTCCAATTCTTTTCTGACCCTTCAAATTCAAGAATTCAGACCCTTTAAATTTTTGACCTGTCATTCAGATTTCCAGTCTCAGGTTGAAGAATCTTTAGCATAAATAATATGAAGGTGTATGATTTGTAGAAAAGGTGAAACTCGAATTGCTGTGTCTAAAATAGAATAATTTTCTCTTTTCCAAATTTCCAAAATTCCTAACATGTGACAGTAGCATCCAAGCAAATTAAATAGTAAATGCTGAAAGGTTTTACAAAATTCTGTGACAGTAATGTGTGTTTGTAGGGTCAATTAAGTTAAAATCTTTTCAATATTGAATACATAAATAAAGGTATGCGACCTGGGAAATTGGATTTGAAACTTCATAAATGATAGATTTTTATTCTAGGGAAAGAGAGGGATTCACATGGACAATCCAGAATTATGCAAGTGAAAAATATGGAATCTTGATTGCCCTTTGAAGACAATGAATAAAGGAAATCCTATTATTCCCTGCATTCTAGTTGGTTGTTAAAGATCTCAGATTAAACAAATACACCTGCATTTTTTCAATTGTCTTTGCTAAAGAATGAAATATTTTGGGATTCCTTTGTGAAAAGAAACCACCACCCTGTCTGTTCACTGAACATGGAAGATATATTCTTAAAAATCTGCTAATATTTTAATTGTTTAGTGAACTAGCACTACCTGACTCATTCCTTAGGATCAGCAAATTTAATAAAAATGTAATTTGAGTAATAGATATTGGATCCAGACTTTCCTGAATAATAATGATAACTACTTTGTCTCATGTTATCAGTATTTTAATAAGATGTCATTTATCCCTTTTAGTAATTTGTAATTTTAAAATCTGAGAAGTCTGAGAATATTTTCACATTGTTAGCTGGTCATAAAGGGCTCAGATCTAAAGGTGGCTTCAATTTATTTACATTTTTAAAATCATTAAAATTGGTTGAGCCATGAAGCATCCTTATTTGCATTTTTGTTTATATAATCTTGAATACTTGGTCAATATTTCCAATATTGTAACTTAGATGTTTCAACCAAAATCAGACCAACAAATCATTAACTAGAAAGTATATTCTGGTAGGAACACAGCAACTTCCCAAGATTAACACAGGCCCTCCGATTGCAACTCCTTTGGAGAATTGGTGAACTTTCATGATTTGTATAATATGTATTATCACACCACAATCGAGGCCAACCATCAAAATGATATAAGGTCTCTGATTGGGTCATGATGTACCTATGCCACAAATGTCACTTAGCTTTTAAACATTGTTACTTTCGCTTTTATATATTCAGATAAATCAGACTAATCTAACTAATTAATCACATTTTTGCTATTAATTGCTTATCTGGCTTACATTTTTGAAGTAAATAATTTTAATTTTTCTTATTTCGGAAAGTCTTGCAAACATTATCTTTACTTAAATTGTAAAGTACTTATCTTAAATTGTTTATGTTTTTAATATTTTCTCAAAAAAATACCATAATCTATGTTTGTTGTTTTGTTTAAAAAAAAAAAAAGGATTTATACTGGAGGAAATCAGAAAACAAATATTTTTGCAGAGGATGGTTATATGTGTTATTTGAACATCAGAATTTTTATGTTACATCAATATACATCATTTTGCAAGATGCAATTTCACAGTAATTCTTTCAAAAGGTGCTCCTCTTTATGGCATATTATAGCAGCAGGAATACATATAATTGGTGTACATGCAGTATTATCTCATTTTCTTCTCTCTGTTCAGAAATGCCTTTTTTGAGTAAATTTTTAGCTTCCAGTTACCCACGGCCACGCCCTCCATGCTTGTGTCCGAATTGCGGTCCTCCGCCACCAACGGGTGGATAACCAAAGAACCATGGGTATCCGTTTGTTGGCAGTGTTATCACCAAAACAGTTCCATTGCAAACCCGAACTGAAAAGAAGGTACCGTACATATTGAGAGGTTAGTATTGCCAGTGACTGTGTGTAAACATTTTCATTATTCCTTTAATACAAGTTTAGGGAAATGTTGAACTTGCAATTCATAAAATTAAACTAATGTTTTTTCATCCAAAGATGTTTTCAGTCAAGAAACTTACTGGTGCTATTTGTACTATTTGATGATGTGCTGTTGGTTGATTGGCCAACCTGCAATAAATAGAATTAATTTTAATTTGTTGCATCATCTGGTTGTGTATAAAGAGAATTAATAAATAATAAAACCAGTACTTATTACTACTTAAAAATATGCCTTAATAATTAATTTAAAAAAAAATTATCTGATGAACAAACAAATAACCAATTGCTGAAAACCCTTGAAATTTTAAAGATATCTTGAGTTTTTTCTTGTAAAATGTTTATAAAATATTGCTTTAAAATCCCCATATTTGTAATTTTTACTTTGTAGCTACCGCTTACCAGTAGAGAAAAAGTTCCGTAATGCTGCGCGAAAAAATGCGAATTTTCGACGGAAAAAACTCATATTGCTGGGCCCTGAAAACGAATAAGTGGATAAATCCAGTTGCTAAATTTAGAAAAAAAAGTCCTCTAACCTGTGGCCAGAATTCGTTTTGTGGGTCCTTAATACCAAAATATCGATTGACGGCGAAACGTCTGTCCGTCCGTCTGTGAACAACGCCAGCGGCTAAACCATTCAGCCGATTTTCCCCAATCGATCTCGATGTCGGAGTCTCTTGAATTTGAAACCGAAATTTTAAGTTTTGGGGGTATACTTTACATGACTCCTTGGTTTTTGATTAAATTTTGTTGTTGGATAGAGGTAATTACGTTTAAGAGATTGGTGCTGGTCTTATTTTCGATCACAACTGATTTTTCGAAAATTGCAAAACGTTTAAAAGTTAATTTTCCTACAACTACAATTATGAAGATGGAGATTTTTTTCCGTTAAGGAAATCGGTTCCTTAAAGATCGATTTTTACATAAGGCCATGTATAATTTTTCGAAATTTGAGTATTATTCACTTACATTTTCGTGAAATATAGGCAACTTTTAAATTTGTTTAAACCGTTTCCTTCAAAAAACGGCAATCATAATGTTAATTAAATTTGAACTTAAGATAGCGTAAAGGACACTTAAGTGCATGGTTTGTTGAAATGCCTAATTTTTCGGGGAAAAAATCGGCTTTTTACAACTACTAATAAAATGTATTCATCAAAAACACCTATTTAGTGTCACATTGAAATTTTCGAAAATGCAGTATTTTTTGTGCAATTAGGCGTCAAACATAATTGCCCTTTACGAATTACCTGCGCTTTTGACCATAATTTGAGGCGTTTGGAAGCTATTGCTTTATAAAATAAAGTAGTAGATTGAAGGAAGGTAATAAATTTAACTTGGAACTTACAAATTGCTTATTTACTTAAAGGAATTGTGATCGCTGATTATGATATGGGGCTGTCCATAAATTACATAACAAATGTGGAGGATTTTCAATACTGCCTCTCCCCCTTGTAACGCACCCGAAAAGCGCGCATGAACACCGCTAAAAAAAGTACGTCTTACTTATAACAAAATCCCCCCCTGTAATGCAAGATGTGAAAATAAATTGTAGCGCAGTAAAAACAATTTGTATTTATTTTCCTTGTGTTGAATATTAAAATTAATGATTGAGTAGAAATTAGTTGGCGATCCTTGTGGCACCTAACAATAAGATCGGGGCAAGTTGTGAGTTACGGCTCGTGCAATGTGATTTCAGGTGCTGCAGTAGGACTAGGTGTAGAAATAGGAAAAAATCTGGCCATAACCTGCCTCCTGGTGGCGGCGATGATATAATGGTTAGCGTATCGGATTGTTATACCCAAGTTGGCGTGGATTTTTAATGGCGAGAAAATCCTTCGTACGCCTTCCTTCGGAGGGGAAGTAAAGCCGGTTGTCCCATGCTCGTAGATTTACTTGCATGTAAAAGGTCCTCAAGCCTAAATGGAGCCTCTGAGCAAAATTCAAATCGCCTGTTTCGTCGCCCAAGAAATACCTCGTTTCTCCGCTAGTTGGTGAAAGGAAGGCATAGCGTAAATTTGCGTGGTCCAGACGGAAGATGCGGTCTCGCACTTAGAAATAAGGCTTCAATCTCAATTCGGATTCCTCCTCCCATGTTCAAGATTTAATCAAGAATTAATGCTAATAGCTGGTAAATCATTTATTAGTTTTACCATAATGTTATCATGTACATTGTATTTGCTATATTATTTTTATATAATGTTATATATAATTATATTATAATTATTATTTATTATTATTATTATTATTATTATTATTATTAGGGGTAAACAGTAATAATCACTATATCAAGAAAATGATATTTTTGAAAAATGAAACGGTATGAAATCTTGAATGTTAAAGATATTTTAAATTAAAGTAAAGTCAAATGTCAATTGACTATTTTGTACAAAAAATAATTGTCTACCATGTAACATTCTTAAATATATCTGTAACAAGTATGTAGTATAATCTATTAGGCCAATGACGCATCTTGATCAAGTTTTTTGTCCCAGTTATTCCCTGATCCTCTGAGGCATGGCCCCGTTGGTTTTGCATTTCTGGATAATAAAAATAAATATACTCACTCCGCTCGCCCAAGAAGATGTGTAGTAATTGTACTCCCTCTAAATATATCAATATTGACTCGTCATACACGATTTAATTGTAATGCGACTCATAATAATAATAATAATAATAATATTATTTTATTATTATTATTATTATTATTTATTTATTACTATTAAAGAAGAATGCTTGGGCGAGAAATGGTTCATCACAAGCTGTGCACACGCGCGCCATCATGGATGATGGATGAGCGAGAGTAAGTTGCGCCAATTTAAATGGATTTTAGAATATACTTCATATTAGTTTTAAATGTTTTCTTCGTGATCTTACAGATTCAGAAAAATGTTGGAGTATTTCCATTTATTGAACAATTTACAACCAATAACTTCATTTATGCTTGTAAAATAAATTAATTAGTTAATGTTATAGTACAGAACAAAAAAAGGAATCGTTGTAGCAAATGTTGAAAAATTTAATATCAATGTTACGTAACACCTAACTAATACCCCGTAGCCTTATGTAACGCTGCCTCATACCCCCCCTCCCTTTTTCATCGTTACGTAATTTATGGACGAACCCTATGTTTCATTCTCAAAAGTTAGAAATAACCACTGTTCCTGGCACTGTTCCTAGAGTGCATTTATCCCTATCTCTCCCAAAAGGGTAAATAAAAAAACGACAGCCTTTTTTGAGAAAATCTTGTTTTTGTAATTTTTAATAATGCAAGCAATATTGTACGAAAACTACTAAAAAGTTCAAAAACATGTATCTGACCTTAATGAAAAACCTAGATGTAGACAACAAATTTCATTTAAAGGAAAAACATCGATCTTTAATTTTGTAGTTGTAGGAAAACGACGAAAAAATTCAAAATTTTGAAATTTTCAAAAATTTAGAGTTAAACCCTAAAAATGGTACCTATGCCACATTTAAAGTATATTTTACTCTATTCTTACAAGAAAGTTAAAGAAAAAAATTGGAGCCGTTTTGGAGAAGATTTTGAAAATGTCCGGGGAGGGGCTTCATGTAAAGAACCTCCAAATTTTGAAGAATGTTTTTCAAAATCTCTAAGTTTCGACCCGACAGGGGTTTCTTTAATTTGGAAAAGATCCTACGAATGATTTGGGAAGAAGTGGTGTTCACAGACGTACGGAGGTTTTGGCGTCAATTGATTTTGCGATATCAAGGAACCACACAAAAGGGGTTCTGGCTACACCACATGTTTCCCCTCCTTAATTTAGCAATGGTTATCCACTTTTTTCGTTATCAGGGCCCAGAAATGAATTTGTGTCTGCCGAAAATTTACCTTTCAACAATGAACTTCTGAAATATACATCACTGCACTGTTTCACAAGGCAGCGTATGTAGTATTATACGCGCACGTTTTCTTGAGCCCCAGAATATTTACCCTCTCTAATTTGCCATCATCATTAATAATAATAATAATAATAATAATAATAATAATAATAATAATAATAATAATAATATTTATTGAGTCACATATACAATTACAATCATGTATGACGAGTCAATTTGATGTCTTGGGTGGAGAGAGCGAAGTTACATTACTGTTCAGGTGCAAAACAAGGGCCCATCTCAGCATTCGCTCAAGGGACCAGGGAAACTGTACAAAACCTGATCGAGATAGGGTTTTTAGTTGAATTAAGAATAAATTAAAGCAACGATCGTTGTAGACAAGATCTGATCATACCATAATCAGCGATCAAAGTTTCTTGAAGTGAAGAAGTAATTCGTTATTTCTAAGTTAAATTTATTGCCTTCCATCAATCTACTTTCTTTGATAAGAATAGCAATAGTGAGAGAGCGTAAAATACTGATGGGAAATTTTGCATTTAAAATAAAAATATGTCAATGAACTGAAATGTACTATATCATATTACGTGTGTGTAAACCCGTTGGACATTGGTCAGCGAGAAGATGTAAAAAATTAAAAGAGAGGAGGCTTTGAAAATGACATGATAAAAAAGGTTCGAGAGAGGATGTTTCGATGTTAGTTAATAACTAAGGAACTAATGTTTCAAGAATAACAGAAGTTGTATAATAATTCCTCAACATCTGACAATTGACAAAAAATATTTTTTTGTATTCTTTTGTTGTTTTTCAAAAATTACACAAATGTCATTTTTTTCTACTCCTCTCACGCCATTAATATGCACATTTCCAACAATTTGTAAACACTTTGTATTTATGAATTTTATTTATGAATTAAAGTGCTTCAAATGATTTCAAATGAAGTTTTCCAAAAACTCAAAATATTCCTGTGAAAATGAGTTTCAAATTCACATTTACGGTAACGCTTAAACGCCATTTTCTTAAAAACGGCTCCAAATTTTTCAATTAAATTGCCATTTACGACGCGGTTTTCCTCTTCTTTAATATTCATAAAGTAGAATTTCAATTCTACTATTATAAAATCCCAAAATTGAGAAAAATAAAAAAATATATACTTTAGACTGTGATAAATGACAGCAGGCAAGAATATATGGCAAGTCCGAATAGATAGTCCAGACTTAAGAAAATAGAAAACTAATATGAGAAAGCATGTGCCATTTGTATCACGACCAGTTACTTTGTTGTATAAAACGTATATACTGAGTTATATAAGTAGTTCTTCGTACGTAATATACGTTCTTCCCAGAAGAATCCAGTCGACCACCAGTAATCTTCTAATCTTTCTTGGTGTTGAAGTTATGTTCAAGTTAATCTGCTAAATCAAAAATTAAACAATTTCTACTGTTCATATAAATAGTTATTCTCGAATGACTCAAGTGGATATCCCTACTCGAGACTACTTTCGTTCACAACTAGACGTTCTGTCTGCCGATCTATTGAAATGACAAGTTAGCTTTACATGTGCTCGCGACGGTGACTAACAATCTTTTCAAGTGCTCGCATGTCAACACATTGGTTTTGTGTGTGGGGGCGTTTTATGAAGATTTCTCCGTATTGCATGATCAGGCAGAAGCATATTAACAACTTTGTCGCCTGTAGGCATGTGAAAAATTGCCGCTTTCCCCCTAATAACCCAGGGAAAAAATTATATATATAATAACAAGTACAATTTGTTTCAAAATTAGACACATTCAAGTTTCCTTATGATTTAAATTAATTGTTATTTAATTAACAAATTATGCTTGTTAAATTTTTCAACAGGAAATAAATATTTAAATCATGTATTTTGATGTACAGAAATAACATATTCTTCATTATGTTTTTTCTTTGTTATGCATATTTATTATTCTATCGCTGTTCTACCTTTAACTCTAGAAAATATGAACAATACAAGACATCTTCAAACAGATTATCAAAATGTCATATACACATAGTTTCTAAATTTATAATATGAATTTATATATATATATATAATATTAAAAAAGTTATAGATAGAAATTTAGTCCACAAGGGCGACAATTAAGGGCGACAATTTTTGTCGCCCTTAAAATTTTGCGGCCGTTGGCACGTGCAAACTGTGCCTATGCGTAATTTCGCCCCTGTATACACGAAAATGTAAAATAAGACTTTTTAAATACACAATAAACGTTTAAAATATGCGTAATCAAGATACTTGGACATACCACAGTACTGTGAATTGCCAATAGATACACTGCAGCGAGAAGAAAAACGAACGGCACACTGCTGCCTGCCATGACTGCAGAGTCAATATTGAAGACTGAGCCACTTGCAAATGTAGAAGCAGCCTCTATGCTTGTAGTATATAAGGTACGCGTTCAAAATAAAACGGAAATGACACTGTGAAAATAAGGACGTGACCTCTACCTATTCATGTCAACATTCTAATGTGACAAGTTAAATATTTAATTTGTGTTTATTTAAAGAACGAACGTATATTCAAAAGTGTTTGTATTTTCTTTTATGTTTCATACCTACGTTGTATATCACATACTATTGTACATCAACCAACAAAAACAAAAATAATAATAATAATAATAATAATAAATATATATATAATAATAATAATAATAATAATAATAATAAATATCAACTAGCGCGTGAGAAAATTCCGTACTTTGTTAATCATTGTTTTAAAAATAAAAATTGGTACATACTGGATCCCAATTGCAGACGAGAACCTGAATTGTACATTGAAGCCTTATATACCCATCATGACGAAAGGCTCTGGATGTTTCCCATATAATTCCTATCATGTTCTCCGAGATAAGCCTTCAAATGCTCCCCCAAATGTTCCCTCAGATCTTCCTCACATAGTCATCCCACGTTTCCGCACTGTTAATCTGAAAATTTAAAAAAAGTTTTTTTTCTACTTATTGTAGCTAAGAAATATTTTTATACACGTTAAGGCGATCTATAGTGCAGTGTCTTCTCTGCCGCATGTAAAAGGAAATTCTGAATAACTAGAGTACTCTAAAGAGCGAAAATAAAACCAAAGGCGTATCTAGGTATTCAGGCTCGGCTTGACTTTCATTTACAAACAAATATTATCAATTATATCCCTCTTATGTAATGAGTCAATTACCCATTACGCTATATTTGATACAAAATTTTGCAAAAAACTCATATTTTCGAAAAATTGACCATGACATTAGACGATCTGTTTTTGGTGAACACATTTCATTAAGGGAAAATTGTATCTTCATAATTGTAGTTGAAAGAAATTGGCGAAAATATTTTGAATTTTTGCAATTTTCGAAAAATGAGGGCTTTTAACCCCCCCATGAGACCATCACCGTTCTCTTAATGTTCTTCACACTATCTAATAACAAAATTAATTAAAAACGATGGGGCCATTTCGTTGAAAATTTGGAAAATGTCTCAAAGGCTGCATGTTAAGTACCCTCCAAAATTAAAATATCGCTTTCAAATTCATGGGACCGCAACATCAGCCAGATCAGGGAATATCAATGTTGGAGAACGATTCGCTTAGTTTCGACTGTAAGACGAAAATTCGCCCATTTTTCGCGCAGCATTACATAAATCTTTCTCTACTGCTTAAGCGGTAAAGTAACGAAAGCGGTAAAGTAAATTAGTGGTTTTCAAAACAATACGTACTTTCTCACCCGTATTTTTACGCGAAAAGTACTCAAAGTTTTGAAAAATTGTAACTGATCTATTTCAAAATCTATCTGCCTCAGAAATGTTAAATAATTCCAGAAATCTTTAAAATATGCTCACAAAAAGATGTATTTTGTATTGTGCATAATGTTTTCGCCACCTAAAGAGTATGAGCAAATTGAAATAAGATTATCTATTTCTGCACATTTTATTTTGGATTAAGAACAGAATATCATTTTAAAAATGTTCAGATATTCACATCGCAGGAAGTAACTTCTGTTACCAGGTACCAACTTGTGTTTCAAAAAACATCTTCCATCGCATATTGAAAGAAACAATTGCAAATCATGCACTAGATTCTTGGCATCATAATGTAAGTTAATTGTTTTGTATTTAGGTAGGATTTCAATTACAATTATTTTTCAATAATACTATAATGTTCTATAGTATATTTTCTTTTGGGGGCACATTCTCATCCAATTTTCTGTCTTTGGTCGACTATCATTTCGGTCCTGCTCCATCCCTTTGCCAGCCGCCACCCAAATAACATTTTTTTGAAATTTTCTCAATTTTTCCGTTTCCTAATAGTATTACCAAAATATTACTTTAAGACTATTAAAGATGAGAAAAACTTCGTCCTGGCAAATGGCAATTTTCATTAAACAGAATTGGAGTAGTTTTTAATCATCGGCGATTTAGCTGCACTGTAAATGCAAACTTTGAAGTTATTTTTCACAGAACATTTTTGAGTTTTCGAAAAACTTCAGTAATTTAAAGAACTTTAACTCCCAAATGCAATATAGTTTACAAATTGTTGGAAATAGACACATAAACGGCGTGAGAGATATTTCAAACGATTCATCAAAATTAATTCTATGTCGGATAAAACAATGCAATTAGCACTAACCGTTCGAAAAGTTTGAAAAATAATTTTGAGCCGCTTTTAAGAAAATGGCGTTTGAGAGTTTCTGAAAATGCGAAATTTTGAGCTCATTTTCACAAAAAACTGTTGAGTTTTCGAGAAACTTTATATAACAATATTTAATTTACATGTACTTATAAATAGAATAATGTAAACAAATCGCCGCTAATGTAAATTGTACTGACGAGAGAGACAAGTCAAAAACTTACACTTTTGTATTTTTTTACACATTACACTTTCGCTTCAACAATGCTTTCTGCTTCATTTTCATTAAGTTATTTCAATACATTCTCAATAATGTCAAAATGTTGACTATAATTTGTGATCGCCTCTAACCAGGTTTCCCATCTCTTAATGGTCGGTTCAGGAGAAAGTGGAACTTCCGAAGCTAATTGTTTAAAAAAATTGATTCAGCTTGAAGATTTCAGGAAAACTTTTTTAACGCTTGATATTAAAGAATTAACAATAGGAAAATTTAAGCATTTTCATTCAGGCGGCGTAGTTGTTACATGAATTATTTTATAATAAAGAAGTTTTAGCCCCCTCCTGTCTTAATCATAAAGGGGGTCGCATCCGATATGAAAAAACTACACTTTATTTCCCTTTTGATTTTACCTTGGAAAGACGATATAAAAAAAGATGGTCACGAAAACTTTTGGCGGATTATTAGACATTCTTACAAGAAGTTTCACCATTCACCCACAAACTAAAAGTTTCCACGAAAAGTTTCTAACTTGTGAGTGCATTCCAAGCTTTATTCAGTATTCTAATACTGTTTTCATTTTATGTTTTGTAATACAAAGTCTTAATTATACAAACAGTTTAATACAATGTTTTTAATACAAGCAATTTTTGTTTCATGATTTGTATATTAATATAACTATAGATTTATCCGGTATTGTTACTGAATCGTTTCCAAGTTTCTTGAAAATAGTATAAGTGGCATCTCTTTTCCAGAAAAATTGGCACGTAATGGGACATTTCTGATTTCATTTTTGTAATTAGCGTATGTGATTTAGTAATACTTTCATCTCGCGGCAATACAGAAAGTTCACATGTGTTGCATAGTTTAATTAATAATAATTCAACTTTTTTAGACATTTTCCTGTGAAAATAGCAAAATATGTATCATTCTAACGATCTAAATATTATGCAATTATAAAAACTCCTAAAATATGTAAAAATATACACTATAAAAATTGCATTTTTCACCGGAGAAACATTGTTCGGCGGACATACTACAATATGCATATATTTAAATGTAATAGAAAAAAGTTGATATTACATAACTATCCTGGCCCTAGACACCAAATAGATGCGTCAAATGATGAACATATGCTTGAATATCTCAAAATTAAAATTATTTTAAAATGGAAATGAAAAAAAATATTGAACGTAAATAACGTGGGTAAAGGAGCATAATTGCACTCGAGTTAAATAATAAAACTAGCTCCTATCGTCATCCCTTATTTTCTTGAACATACCGCAAATGCAATTACACCCTCTGTACTATACTCTTTCGTAAATTACTATAAAAGATGTGGGTTGCTAAGGACAATTTTGAAAATCGCGGGTGTTTGCGATTGTAGCGCTTTACTGGGGGGTTATGTAAAGTTGTGGTTAATGACGTCATGAATTATACCTTATGGCCCAATGACACATGTCTTCTTGTTTATACCGAAGAGTATTTGTACTATACTCTGTTATACTCTCTAACGTTTGTTTTCAATATTGTGACGACTGTATAAAGTAGATATGAGGTTGACAGCTTTTCTTCTTGTTGGAAGACCAAAATTGCCTAGAGGCCATTTATATAGAGGGTAATTTTTTAAAGAGGTTAAGGTATTAATACTCCTTCGTCATATAATTAACCACTGTTCTTTCAGAAAATATCGTCTTGTAAAAGAAGTTACTCCTCTTGCTGCCGCCAATTTAAGGCATGATTATGCTCGAGAAGAAAAGAATATGTTATATCTCCGACATCCTTACCTTACTCTTGTGAGTACTCATGTGTGATGATTTTTTCTTTTTTTACAGAGCCTCAGTTGACTGACATTAAATTGACGGAATGTGAACCACTTTTGTATTCATAAACTCTTTCATATAATAATTTGTAGTTTTGGTTTAACATTACAATTTAAAATATTTTTAACTCCTTAGATTGTTTTTATTTAATGGAATAATAGTACCATGTGCTTTTTCTGTGATAGACATTTGTATGACAGTTTTTTACATCAAAATCCTTCGTTTGTAAGTTAGACTTGTAGTCTACAACTTGGGTGCTGTACTTAAGTTGTTTCATGCAAATCTTATTTATATATTTGTTTTGAGGTATATGCATGCATTTAAATACATGCTACCTAACATAATTTTAACAATAAATTAGCCATATTTGCTGATTGAGTCACTTCTTTACATACAAGGCCATATTGTACTGTTTTATCTACTCACATTCCTTAATATAACTTTTGACATAAAGTATAAATAGATTGTTTTCCAAGGGTTTTAGAAATCAAACTTTACGAGGCCCTTAAAATTTGTTGGGAAACCTGAGAGGTTGCTTGCGAGACATTTTCCTGCAATGACAAATTTAAATTTAATTGCTTCCTGTGATATATTATTTGTCTTGTTATTCTCTAATTCAACCAATATTGAATTTCAGGAACAATCATGTGGCCATACCAAGCATCTGTGCAAGCCGACTGAGAAATTTGGTGACATACTGAGGAAACAGCTTGAATGGAAGAGAAAACATGTCACAATTGAAGAACGACTTCGTCATTTGCGTGTTAGAGACTGTTGGGATTAATTCTGGTTCATCAAAACATTAGTATTGCAAATCGTTATTTTAAATGAAAATAAATATTTATCTTACTCATTTTATGAACCTTTTGAGTTATTAATAGGGTAAATGTCTGCGGAGACTGGTTGTTTTTTTGTAGAATTATACTTGGAAAACCTATAAAAGTTCTTCATCCAATCAAATTTGCATACAATGTTTTCTCAATATTTCTTTTTTTTTTTTTACAAATCTTGCACATTTGGTTTTGGTGCTTTGACTGAAATCTGTCAATACAGCCAAGTTTGAAAATAGTATATTTAAAAAGAAGATAAAACAAAACAGTTATATGAAACTTGAATGTCTGGAAACTATTCACACGAGACCTTTGTAATGTAAATTAGAAAATAAAAAATTGTAAAATGAACAAAAACTTAAGATAGGAGAAAATGTGAACATGTACCACAAAACTAATATCACATCAATGTGTTAAAAAATCATAATACAAAAAGCCTGTAAAGAGAGATCAAGGATGGTCTGGGTAATACACATTGCATTTTGGGAGTTGGTGTACCACTTTTGGGTCCACAGTTGGCTCTAATATAAAATCGTGTTCCAGTGATAAAAAATGTATGAATGTGACCTGTGCACCAACAATATTAAAGAAGTAAGTAAAGGCTTCACAGAAGATGCACTATAAGCGAATAAGTTCGTCACAACAACTGTTAATTCCCCCCAAGTTGTAATAGAGTGAAGATGTCTAAATAATGATTAAGCAATGTTAAGGAGAAGTAATATTTATTGTGATTACAAGTTTTCTGTTCTTACTGTTCGGTAAATATCTGTTGTCACAGTATGTGGTAGTTTTGGGTCTGACCAGCGTGAGCATCCCAATTTACTAGAATTTGTTGAAGATGTTACAGAAAATGTGTCACTTATTTGTGCATCTAAGAGAGGTGGCTTACATCTTTATTTATAGTATATGTCCTCCCCTACATATGAAGGGTACAGGGGGAAAACGGTTTAAGTCCACTTTTGATGAAAGTTAAGATTTTACTTCTATGCAATTGCAGGAATCTAGTACTACATTCTTGCACATTGAAATGTGAAGTAAACAATGCCTTGCACGGAATTGCAAAAGAAAAGAAACATATTACCTTGCATTGAATAAGACTGTAAGATTTTGAATTCAATTTCATTGAAATCAAAGTTTAAAGTTTGTTTTCCTTGCACCCTTCATATAAGGTCCTCTCATCTTAAGTACATGAAGCTAAAGGCTGGAGGGGGCGGGTGTCCGAGGTTAAGAATGGGTGACTTCTTCATGGAGTTTATAGCATGGTAAGTAGTTCATACTGAGGAGTATCCTGTCTGAACTTTGTCAAAATTCATAAATCTTGATTATTTATGATGCTAGGATAAGAGTGAGCTCTTAAGGCACATTGATTTTGATTGTTCTGCACAGCCACCAAATTTCATCATGAAGGGCATGACAACACTGGTAGTTTTCTTGGAATATCCAGCGAGTGAGTGAGAAATGATATGAAAGAGACGACAAAAAATAACAAAATTGGAATTTAAATAAAACACGAACTATAATGCGTAATTAATTTGTTAAAAATTCACACCAGTACATTAATAGGGAGCATACACACAACAAGTGTTCTGCAATAAAGGTTAATAAATATTGGCCTCTCTCTATTTAAACGGTTTCTTTAAAGTATTACTGATGATTAGATCAGTTTGCTTCCTTTTAAATCCTTAATAATACTAACAATAAACTAGTGAGACTACAGAATTCTTCATACTAGATTTCTAATTCTTTGTCGTGGGTTCAGTTTTCAGTTTTGCCCCGTCCTCTTCCCAGCTGCAAAACTACATTTTTTCAATTTGTGATTCCCCAAATGGTAGAACTAAAACATCACTTCGATCCCGATCGAAGCCGTGGATTTTTAAGGGCGAAAAAATCCTTCATACGCCTTCCTTCGGAGGGGGTAAAGTAAAGCCGGGTGTCCCATGTTCGGAGATTTACTAGCATGTAAAAGATCCTCAATCTGAGCTAAATTCAAATCGCCGGTTTCTCGCCCAATATACACCTCCTTTCTCCGCTAGTTGGTGAAAGGAGCGTAGCGAAATTTGCGTGGTCAGACGGAAGAGCAGGCCTAATGGCCTGAGTCTCGCCACGTAAAATAAGGCATTCAATTAAAAAAAAAAAATTCACTTCGAGAATGTTATAGAAGTGTAAAACTTCATCCTGTATGAACATTTTTGTTGAAACACAGTATAGCCGAATAATGGGGGTGAAAAGTGCCCCCAAATCAAATTGATAATCATGATACTCGTATGAAAGAGGATAAAAAATGTACATTCCCCAAAAAAGACCCTCCTAGGACAATCTGTTACAGAATTGCAATGAAAAGCAGGTTTTTTATGTCTTATTTTTTTCTCAGCTTTTATTGCATGTATTAGGCTGAAAAAAGTCGGAGATTTGAATTTGAAAGACTCTTTGTCACCAATTTTGATGCCAAATTCAAATAGGAAAAAAAGTGGGGGGGGGAATTGACATTGATTTTAACATGATAGTCTCAGGTTTTCCCTCTTGAATGTGTCTTAACATTCTATAACACACACACACACACACACACATATATATATATATATATATATATATATATATATATATATATATATAAGATTTAGATATGATTAGATATAGATTTTTGTAGACAATGTGGACAAAAGTGAAAAATAATTAAAAACCAATTTTATCAGTTCAAAAATTTGAAATTTGCGCCAAAATAATGATTGGAAAAAATATTTATGTTCAAACAATTTATATTTACATTTTTGAAAAGTCTCATTTACCAGTGTGATTTACAATTTTTTTTCTGACAAATGTTCGTTTTTTATGTGGAAAGTATTTGTTATCGAAATAAAATCAACAAACCTCTTTTGTACTTCGGTTTATGTATTGTTTCTAATGTAAATCATTTTACTCTGCTTTAGGTATATTAATCATTCATTTTTATAATATAAATCAAATTACTCAGGTGTTAACCATTGACAATTAATCATTGTCACTGACTTCTTCAATAACTGGCGGTCGTTCATAAACAGCCTACTCAAAATTTCTGACGGGTTAGCAATTTTCGTTAAAAAACGAGCGTGTGCTAAAATAAAACTAGTGGTGCTAAAACTGCCCATTATCGCATTACTGCCCATGCCATCGCCCTTTAGTAACCGTCATGTAATATTATACCTCATTTGTCTGTCAACATATTTCAGTCGATGAACGCTGACAACAAAGCGTACATGCAGCGATGGGCGCTACCAATAATGAGCACATATTCTTATCAATTCTTTCCGACGATCTAGAATATACTAGAGTGGCTGTCCCTACCCTACACCCTACAGTTTCAGCGCTCTTGATGGAGGCTCGCCGAACTAGTGGCTACCGCGTTTTTTGAAGTCAAAACATACGAGGGGCGGCGTAACCGCCAAATTAAATGCTAGAATTCTTTTTCCCAGAGGGGACTGCTTTGACTGCAAAAATCATGGCTTCAATTTGCTTCAAAGATGGAGGCGCTTCAGCCACTCTATGTAGTATATTCTCGTTAGTACTCTCTAGTAGTAGTTCGTTGATTCTCCCTAAAAGCGCCATTTTTGCCATAAAAGGAAGATGGTCCGTAGTTGATGTGAAACCTATATACATTTTTTACATATAGGTTTTTAATTTTTTCTCCAATTTTCGAAAAATAGGGGATGTCAACGAAAAGGAGACGTGTACCATTCTCTTAAACTTTCTTGGCACTATTCAACAACAAAATTTAATCGAAATATTTAGAGCCATTTTTTTTAAATGCCCCAGGTTTTATGAAAAAAAAAAAATGTTAAATACCCCCCAAAATTAAAATATCAGTTTCAAATTTCAGGGCCCGCGACATCAGCTAGAACGATTGGGGAATATCAATATTGGAGAAAATCGGCCGAACGGTTTATGCGCTAGCGTTGTGCAAAGACGGACAGACATTTTGCCATCAATCGATTTTTCTTTCTACACCACATGTTAGAGGACTTTTTTTCCTATATTTAGCAACTGGATTTATCCACTTTTTTGTTACCAGAGCCCGGCAATAAGAGTTTTTATGTCGAAAATTCCCCGTTTTCCGGCGCACGATTACTATATTTTCTCTTCTTAGGTTAGTAAGTGCGAGAAAGTAAAAAAACGTCTTACGACGATACGACGGCATGTGTCAACGATATGCATTTCTTTTCTTCCATGAGTCAATTGTACCGCTCTAGGATTTTAAAATGACTCAAACAATGAAGGCGCGACCGATTCAACATTATGTAAGAAATTGTTTGATAGGTATTTTATTAGATTCCTTTATTCGATATTTCTGTCAACTGCTGTTTTAAAGACTGAGACGTGCAACTACGACATTATATTGCTTTTTTCGATACCAGAAGTCATTTAATATTTTGTTCTCAGCATGTCGAAAATATACATGTTCTATTGGCTCTGTTATCAATATGTCTTCTCCATATTTTTGAAGGAGGCGCGATTACACTGTGCCGTTATCGAGTCGATAATCTCCCTATATTCGCCCACAAAATCATCAATAAGAAAGTGGTATTCATCTGAGTTGCCCTCAAGGTAAAATATATGAATGCATGGACTCAATTACATGATTAGCTAGGCGAAATCCCTTTACTTTCTTCTTGTCGGCTTGCACAACTTTTGACGGAAATTATGGTACCATGCTTCTAGGAACAATTTCTCGTTAGCAATGCGTGTTATTTTCTGATTTCATTCATATTGGCTATTCATCTGCATGGATTATAATTATTGACGATTTCAAGGAAATCTGCATACGTTATGTACAAAATTTCTTTGTAGATAGGACAGTCTTACTTGAATTATAATAATTATTATAAAAATAGTGAAAAACGAACGTAATTTTATTTCATTGAAGTGCTTTTGATGCAAGAAAATCGTCTTAGGTGCCAGAACGTATAGGCCTATTCTCTCTTACTTGAACTTTCTAACGCGAGTTTATCCTCAGTAAGTATTAAATCATTAGTATGTAATCGCGTTTTATTTATAATGACCTTAACATTTCAAAAATACTGCATTAGAGAGATTATTAGTAATTTTGGGCAATTACAGAATAAAAAGGAAAATTTAAAATCTCGTAGCGATGTTACTATTTACTTGAGAGGAATAATTTATAAAGATAATATATAAATTTATAGAGAAGTTTATGGCCTTTAAAACTGTACGAGCTATTTTGCGCTAAGATCAACCATTCAAAAAGCATTTCGCAAAAACGCTACCAAACGTTTTCCCGAAATATTTCGAGGTGGAAAACTTAGGGGGGGTTTACTAATAATATATACAAAATAATATATTGTACCTCAACTTTTGCAAGGCAAAATGACTTAGGTATCGACTGCACTAAAATTGCGTTCTTTAAAAACGGAAGTAAGAAATGCCAATCCACTTCGTGACTGATGCAGAAGTCTCAGCACAATTGTTATTTCAAAACCGCTTTCTACAATTGAAGAAAAAGAAGAAACTGGATAAAAATTGAAAATGAAAAATAACAGTGTAAGGCTCGCAGAAATTTCATCAAGTTGTTCTAACCATAGAGTAGAGACATATTTCTCCTCTATGGTTCTGTCCCGTTACGTTATTGGCTATAAATACCACGTTCTGGACTCGTAAGATTACCACACAAAGAAAATGTGTGAATGACCCAAATACATTTTGTTGTATTTGTGCACGTTTTATGATTGCAAAAAAAAAAGAGACAGAATATATCCTCATCTTTTAGAGGTGTTTATAACGATTATTTTGGAATGAAACTGGGGAATCAGGATAATCCGTGGGCCCCTCATTAAGTGTGGAGCGTTTGTGTCTAAACGATAGTTATTTTTGTATTTGCAAAGTAGAAGGATGCAATACAAAGAAGACACACGGAATGCTTTATCCTAACTTTTTGAAAAATGTAGTAGATTTTACCTTGCTTGAAATTTATACAGTTTCAAAAAATGTAATTTTCTCAAAAACCGATCGAAATTTTTTCATTAAACTTAATCCTCATATGTAACTACGGGTGGTAAAAATATGATGCTAGTCCCATTTTTGGCGAACTCTCCGTCTTTGTGAAAATTGCAAAAATGATGTGTTGGAAATTGGACGTGTCTCTTCGTATCGGAACGATCTCCATATGTATCATCATGCTCATTTGTTGTCCAGTCCGCTTCTTCCCATTTGCTGTCTCTCACTTATATTGTTTTCCTTAATATAATAATTCCTTTTTTATTTAATACTGTTATTTGCTAAGCCCAGAAATTACTTGCGCGTGGTATTAAAATATTCATTATTCACTTCCATAGTCTAGTTACTTCCTATTTTGATCTCCTTTATTTATTTCTTGCTAGTCACGTCCCATTTGGAAATTCGTTTGTTTTTCACGAAATAATATCACGCATTTCTCATTCCTATCGTGATTCTATTACATCTTGTGATGGCCCCAAAATGGGATCAGCATAAACCATCACACATTGTTCAACAATTCTTATCTAAAGTTATACCCGTTTATCAACAGAAATTCCACCCTCAGTATAGAAACTGGGCTACTCATCTATAAAATGATAATAAGACCCACAATGAAATACGCATGTCCAATATGGCGCAACATAGCACCAACCAATCTATCCGTTTTACAGACAATCCAAAATAAATATCTAAGACGAACCTTGAAAGCCC